TCCTCTGTGTTGTCATGTTTCTGTGTGTATTTTCACCACTGCTAATTCCTGGCCTAAATTAAACCTTTGTTTTTTGTTGTTCTTTAGTCGGATTGGGGAGAACCTGGAGCAGGCTCTGCCCAGCCTCACAGAGCTCATTCTCACCAACAACAACATTGCTGAACTGGTAAGATGTGGTGCAGGATAAAGCTAAACAAGCTTAAATTTGTGACTTTTGTCTTTCTAATTAACCATTTTGCTGAGAGTAGTGCCATGTGCTTTAGGTAGTAGTTAGTTCATTTCTTTAGAGTAATATCATGTGGGTTTGGTAGTAATGGTGAACATACTTTAGTGAACATGATTTGCAGCTTGCACAAAGCTTAGTAGGTTTCCTGTTAAAATACTTGCAGTAATTCTAATTAATCTCTAAAATAGATAAATCTGAGTTCAGGAACTTTGTTTTCAAATATTTGCTTTTTCACTAAATGGACTTAGAGTTTCTTGCTGTGCTCTCATTACCCAGGGTGAACTGGATCCATTAGCAACTATTAAATCACTGACTTACCTGAGGTATGTAATCCTAAAAAGAAAAGCTGCTCTTCCTCTGGTGTTTAAACTCTGCTGCTGGCCTGGCTCTTTGCTTTGGTCTGGAATGTTCTGCTTTTTATGAGCTGTGACAGATCCTTTATGTCTAAAAATTGAATTAATAAACAGCGTTTCCACTGCGCTTAATAAACATCTGGTATTTAATGTCTGAGGCTTTATGTCACTGAGAGGCTGCTGGACCAGTGAGATGTAACATCTCTATAAACCAGCAAGGGGTGAGGTAAACTTGACCTTTAAAAACAAAACCCAAAAGGTTTAAACTTTTGGTTGTTCCAAAATACTTTAAAATATGTGTAAGCAAGGGCTTTTCTGTAACCTTACATTTTTTTGGTAAGGGACATTTTTTGATGTGAAGGACAAGAAGAAAAGTAGTTTGTCCTGTGATTTTTCAGTTGATCAGTGTCCAGGTGGGAAATGTGGTGATTCAGTTATTTATTTGGGTTTTTTATTCTTATTTTGAGGTTGTTCTTTATGTCCTTCTTCAGTAAAATCTACTTATTGATGAAATGCAAGTTTTTGCTATCGTTTCCATTATATCAAAGAACTGTCACCAGGCTTTTTTAATGGTGTTATTTGTTATCTGTTACAGCAAAAGCTACATGAATGCATTTCAAATAAATTAATGTATTTCAATACAAATGTATTTTAAAATATCTTATATTAAGGACTTCTTTATAACCCTTATTTACTTTATAGCGTTTTAAGGAATCCTGTAACAAATAAGAAGCATTACAGATTGTACCTAATCCATAAAGTTCCCCAAGTCAGAGTGCTGGATTTTCAAAAAGTGAAACTCAAAGTAAGTCTGCTTTCTTTTGATTTAGCACTTTTTTTTTTTGCATTCTTCAAAATTGCTCGCTAACAGAAAGCTTTTTGGCATAGCTGTAAATTTTATTGAAACTCTTTAAGTGGCTCTAAAACACGCTCCTTGTTTTCTTTCATAGTTTCGTTCTGTTAAGGATATAGTCTAATTATGTGTAATTAATTTTTACTGCCTTTGTTCAGTGTTATTCTTTTCTGTCCCTCTGGTGTTGGTAGAAGACAGACCTCTAGAGAAAGAAATGAGCAATCACAGCAGAGCCCTCAGCTCTCGGTGAAGTTGAGTGTGGGAAAGAGTTTAATTTTAAGAGCATGAGGTTGATACATCTTTGAGTGTTTTGGGCGATGTTTATCTGCTTGTTCTTACATCTGGTCCCCATGTACCAATTTCAATGATGAAGATGAGCCAAAGTGTCTTTTCTTGGCAAAGGCAGGAGCTTTGCAAACTGTGATGTTCTCAAATTAACTCTGTGTGTGTGGTATCGCTGTAGGAGCGACAGGAGGCAGAGAAAATGTTCAAGGGCAAACGGGGTGCACAGCTTGCAAAGGATATTGCCAGGAGAGCAAAAACGTAAGATAAAATACACAAATTTACACTGGCATCCTCCTTCAGAAACACCACTTCCTTTGTGTGCAGTATCAGGCAGAAAACTGGAATATCAGCTGCTTGGCAGGGTGCCTTAAAAGTTTTGGGAGCCAGAAGTGCCTTGTCCAAGCACCCCAAGTTTTGGATGGTGGTGAACACATCTCAGGAATATCTTTGAAAGAGATCTTTGGTCAGGGTGGATTCATTGAAGTCCACAAGCAGGAAACCTAACTTTTTTTTTTCTTTTTGTTATTTAACTGCAGAGAGGTGGCTGTTGTCTGTTTTGTGTTTTTTTTTTCCCCTAGATGATTAGTAACTGAAATTTTTTCTTTTGCCTGGGAATATAAACTGTAAAATCTGCTGGAGTTATGAGGATAAATGCAGATGAAAATCTTTAGTTAAGCTATTACAAGTATATGTTTATTTAATTTAATTCTTAAGTTGTACATCATATGTTTTGTTTAATCTTTGATCAGCCTATTTGGAAATAAGAATTCAGTTCATGTGTGTCAACAGCATTTCCAAATTCATAGTTAAATAAAAAAATGTCTTGAACTTATGTAGCATTTAAAGCTATGATAGATGGACTCCAGCTCTAATTTGTGAGTGGAAAGGAATTCAGGTCTGTGATAGTTTTAGAACAAGCAGCTGATTGAACTAAATAGCTCAATAAACATGAAAAAAACCTTTCTATAGCTGCAAGAGAGGTTGCAGCACTCTGGTGCTGGGTCAGCACTTCAGGAATTTCTTTCCAGCTCTTTCTATTTTGACATAGTACAGATTTTTCTCTTTTTTTGATAGTACAGATTTTTCTCTTTTTTTCCTTAAAGCGGTAGCAAATAACCTTTTCCTTTGGAGTGTTAAGATGACACCCAATCTAGCATAGGCTTTGATATATTCTGTTGCAGTATCTCATTAGACACACGAGAACAGGAAACCCAGTTTCAGTTACTCTTTGTTTATCCACCCTGCTTTTGTAATGGCAACAGACCCTCCTGAGTGTTCAACAACATCCAAATCGAAGAGCTTTTGTCAACTGCCTAATTAATAGCTTAAGTTCTGCCTCTCTTTTTGAGCAGGTGAAAAGGTGTGTGGGGGGGAAATGGGACAGCAGGACAAGGTGCTGGTGTTTCTGAAGGAGGCAATTCTTCACTGTATCAGTTTGTTAACAAAGATAAGATACTACACCTGATTGAATGAAATGCTTCCAAACCCAGTTTGGAAACATTTCAAGTTAGAGAAGCACCCGCTCTTCAAAAAGTCTAACTGGTCTTTATTTTTCCTTTGAAGCTTCAATCCAGGGGCTGGTCTGCCGACTGACAAAAAGAAAGCTGGGCCCTCCCCAGGGGACGTGGAGGCAATTAAGGTAAATGTGTCAGGAGAAAAGTGGAGGAGAAAAACTGTCGTGGATCCAAACTGAACAAATGTTTCCTTTGTTCAGACAGATAGATCAGTGTGTCCTGACTTTGGTTTAGGTGCTTTTTCTGTAATTTTTCTTCTGACATACCTGTTTTTTGAGAACTTAAATGAAAGTTAGTCTGAGCTTAGAGTTCTCCCGGGGAGAGCAGTTTGTTTAATAAGGAGAGAAGTTAAGATTGTACTTAAAATTTTCTAGAACTAGGGTTTAGTAGAACTTTCATAGGAGCTTGGAAGAAAATCCTGTTTCTTATGTTAATTCTGAGCAGAGTGAAGTGCTGAGTGTGAAGATTCACTGTGTTCTCTCTCTGTTTTCAGACTGCCATAGCAAATGCCACGACTCTGGCTGAGGTGGAGCGACTGAAAGGTTTGCTGCAGGCTGGGCAGATCCCTGGCAGAGAGCGAAAATCAGGTCACTTCACTTCCGTTACTGTTGTTTCCCAAACAGAATCCACCTTTCTGATGCTTTATGCAATCTCAGTAGGGAGTTACTAGAAAAGGACACTTTGGGAGTTGAAAAGCTCGTTTTAGATGAGTGTAACTATCATCAGAAGGACTGCGAAGTACATCCCTGACTCTTAAATGGTGTAGGATCTGCCTGGCCTCGAGTACAGCTGTTACTGAACTCCCTCCAGAGTAGGCACCAAACAAGGCGCTTTGCTGTATTGGATAGCTCCAAAAATATTTTTTAAATACTTTAAAAATATTTTTTAAAATGAGATTAATTACACAGTCCATCTGGACTCGTGCTGAGTGTCGGTGCCTGGGGTGTGGGTGCAGCAGTGAGTCCCTGGAGCTCTCCAAGCACACACAGCCCATGGCAGGGTCCACAAGTCACCTGTTTGCTGTGTGTCAGTGCTGCTTGGATTTTCCTTCCTAGAGTTTTTAAGAACTCCCATTATTACTCCTCCTGTGCAGAGTGGTGGGAGAAGAACACCAACGCCTGCGGCAGCTGCCCTGAAACTCTGTCTTGTCCTTTCAGGCCCCTCGGAGGACGGCGAGGAAGAAATGGAAGAGGACACGGTGCCCAACGGGTCGTAGCCGGCTCTGGTGCTGCCCCGGAGCCCTCTCCCGCCCCACTCGGGGCCCATCGCCCCCGTCCCTGCACATTTCGGTGTCCAATAAACCAGCGGTCCCTTTTTGTCCCCGTGGTGTCGCGAACCCTTCCCGGGGCAGGAGCGGGGCGGGCGGGACCCTCTGCGAGCCCTCATTGGCCGCCGTGCGCCTGCCCCTCTGCTCTCATTGGTCGGTGCAGCCGTCACGTTACTTCAGTGCGCTGCCGCTGGGGCGCGTCGCTTCCTGGAGTTGGCGGCGGACGAGGCGGTGATTGGCGGAGCGGGGCGGTGCCCGGACGTGAGGCAGTGACGGACAGGGCGGTGATTGGCTCTGGGATTGTGCACGGGGAGGTGGTTGGCGAAGGCGGTGACGGACGGGGCGGTGATTGGCGCAGGGGGCGGTGAATTGCTCAGCGGGCAGCTCCCGGACGTGAGGCGGTGACGGACGGGGCGGTGATTGGCTCAGGCGGCGGCGGACGGGGCGGTGATTGGCGCGGGGGGCGGTGCCCGGCGCAGGGGCGGTGCCGGACGTGAGGCGGCGGCGATGGCGGCAGTGCTGGAGCTCGGGGGCGGTGGGGCCGCGGCGGGGCCCGGGCCGGGCCCGGGGCCGTCGTTGGGCCGGGGGGGCCTGGAGGTGCTGCAGCACACGGGTGAGGCGAGCAGGGGCCGGGGGTGCGGGCGGGGGGCGGCGGGCCCGAGGGCGGGGCCGGGCGGGCCGGATCCCGCGCGGGCCTCGCTCACCCCCGGCCTGTCCCCTCGCAGTGGGGTCGCTGCTGTCCAGCTATGGCTGGTACATCCTCCTGGCCGCCGTCGCCGTCTATCTGCTCGTGCAGAAGGTGTCCCGGAGCCTGGCGGCGCGGTCGAGCGGCCCCGGAGCGGCTGAGGCGGCGGAGGGTGAGTAAATACAGTAAAATAAAGCCCCGCGCCCTCCCCGGGGCAGTGTTTGTGCCCCTCCGGGTCCTGCCGGCGCTGCGCGGTCCGGGCGGGGTGTCTGACCCTGCTCGGACCCACACGCGGGTCTGGAGTCAGTAACAGCCCAGAAGAGGTTCGGTCCTGAGGGATGTCCATGGGGAGCGATGCTCGGGATAACAGCGTCAGCCCACTGTGAGGGAAGAGATCGCTGGGAAAAGCTGGACCAGGAGAAGTGTTTTCAGAAGGTTCTGAAGGAAGGCCTGTGTCCCGAAGGGACGTGTTTGGGAGTGAAGGAGCAGGGCACTGCAGGACGGAGGAACAGCTGCCCCTTGGTGGTGCAGGAGCTGAGGGAATGGTGGCTAAAAGCTGTTGTGGTCACTTACCAGATAACTTTCAAACTTACCAAGCAAAACCAAAACGTTCAAATCTAAACCCAGGAGAAAATATTCATTTTTTCTGAGTATTCGTTATTTTTCTTCAAATTAGTCCTTCCCAGTTCCTGCTCTGGCAGCGCTGTGTACATTTGGGGTGTAGCAGCCTCCTGTCTGTTATCTCAGTGAGTGTGGCACAGGTTGCAAGGCTTACACAGTCAGGAGCCTGCTGTAAAGCACAGGCTGTGCCTGTGGATCTGCCAAGTCCACGAGTGCTTGGCACTCATCCCTTTGGAACCTTGAACGCGGGGCCCCAGAAAACCTCCCTTGCGTGCCCTTATCCCACTGCTCTTCTTTTGTGGTGCTAATTAAGTCGTGGTTTAACTGCCAAAACTGCTTGTAAAGTGAAATTACTGAAAGTGCTGACATTTGTTTCACATAGTCATCACTGGATGGTAGCAAACATATAAGGAGGCCAGCAAATGGGGAGATACTTCAGCTGCTGGGGAAAAAAGGAGAGCAATATTTGCCTTTTTTGGGGTGTAATTTTAATTTTGACTTCTCCTAAAGGCCAGTCATGAAGAGAAGTGGTGACTCAGTGTAGATTTTCCGAGACCTCCAGGTGTCTCTGGAGAGATGTGTCATGTTGGTAAGTGATTTCTGTGCTGGTGGGGTGTGTTAAATCCACTGCAGCACTGACACAAGCAGGACCCTTTGTGAGAAGGAGTAGGAGTGAATGTGGGCTGGTTTGTCTCATCCTTCTGCGTAAAAGAAGTTCTCTGGGTAAAAATGGGATCCCTGTCAAGCCTGGGTGATATTTCTGAATTTATCTGTATCAAACAAATGCTTCATAAATAGAAGCAAGTACCCCAGAAGTGTGAGGTTAATTTTTTATGGGTTAGTTACATCGTTGTCCTTATTAATTAAAATCCTGCTTTAAAATGTGACAGCATGATGAAATTTAAATCAGCATATAATTTACTGTAAAAGATTAGCTGGAAACTGGACTTAAGCTGTGATTTTCTGCAAAACAGCTGCAGGGAGAGGTGTGAGCCTTTCCTTAATATAATTCTTTGAGGAGATCATCTAGAATTTACTTCGCAAATTCTTTCCCAATTTCCTAGAGCCTGATGTGGTGGTAAGAAGGCAGGAAGCTTTGGCAGCAGCTCGCCTCAGGATGCAGGAGGAGTTGAATGCACAAGCAGAAAGATACAAAGAAAAACAAAAACAGGTAACCAGAGAGTGCTTCTTTCTTTAACTCATAAATTTGTCATTGGGTACTTCGCTGCTGTTAAAGAAATTATTATTCCATGTTAGATACAGACAAACAGGAGACTCGTTTTCTCTGCAATGTTGATGCAATTCATCTCTGTGAACTTGCCTCTCCAAAAGTAATTGTGTGCCAGGGTCACTGTGGGCCTGATGTTGATTTTTCCACGGGTAAATCTGTACCTGCAGGGACTTTAGTTGTGTGTGCAGTGAATGGCTGCAGGGGATTTACTGGCATTTAGATTAATTGTACCACTGCATATGTGTGTTGTCTGTTCTTAATGGTAAATGTGGGTGTTTGTAGCTCAGCATTGCTGCAATTTAAGGGTTTGAATTACAGCTTGAGGTAACAAGGAATAGCAGATTGCTGTGTGGGGCAGGGCAGAGGAGTGGGTGCGATCAGCAAGTTAATCCCACCTCTTCTGTTTGGATTAGATGTTAGGAAGAAATTCCTCCCTGGGAGGGTGGTCAGGCCCTGGTACAGGTTGCCCAGAGAAGCTGTGGCTGCCCCTGGATCCCTGGAAGTGTCCAAGGCCAGGTTAGATGGGGTTTGGAGCAACCTGGGCTAGTGGAAGGTGTCCTTGAGTGGAACAAGATGAGCTTTAAGGTCCCTTCCAATCCAAACCATTCTATGATTATTAACCATTAATTTATTTGGTTTTGTGAATAAATTTCTCTAGAAGAGAGCTGGTAGAGTTGTTGATAATGGATATTGGGATGTAAATATGTAGCTGACTCTCTTCTGAGGAACTCTACATTGTGCATTGAATTCCTGTCATAGGCAATATTCTTAGTACTTTTTATAGGCTCGGGATTTGAGCTTGCCACTTGGTTCTGTTTTACTTTCAAAATGTTTTAAAGCATCAAGTGGCCAAAAGAAGCTGCAGACACAGTCTGAGGAGGGGAACATCCAGACACATACTGAGGAGGGGAAGATGTGGGTGTGTATAAAAGTAAATGCTTCCATAAGCTCAGAGTTACTGCATCACATAAAGGTGAATCCCTTGGGGTTTGATGAGTCTGTTGTAGATGTTTCTGGGGATTCTGTTCTGAAATCTTGTATGTCCTGGATTTTTTTCTGTAGCTTGAAGAAGAGAAGCGGAGGCAGAAGATAGCGATGTGGGAAAGCATGCAAGAGGGGAAGAGCTACAAAGGAAACCTGAAACTGAATCAGGTAACAACCCTGTTAATCAGGTCACACTTGTATTTATGTGTTTAAATTAACTGAAATTCACATTCAGTAACTTTCTGCTTCTCTGAACAGCAAGAAGCAGAGTCTGGTGCCTCGACCTCAGCAGTCCCGAAATCTAAACCAAACAAAAAGCCTTTGCGAGGAGGTGGTAAGTGTGGGATCCTTGAGACACCCTGAGCTTGAAACAGAGCATTTATGCAGCTGTGTCCATAGTCATTGCACAGACTTTTTGTCTTCTTTAGTGAGGACACAAAATGTGCCCTACAAACGAGCTCTGTATCTCTGGTCAGTTGGTCTGCTCTGCACTTTGTGCAAAAACCTGTCAGGAAGTTTTTGTGGTGCTTTTCCCCAGGAAAACAGTGTTCCAGGTTTTTTATTAATGCTTTTGCCATAATTTACTGAGATTTTTCAAAATTACAGATTTTTACACTATTTTTGGGATGCCTCCCCCATTATTGTAAAAGTCCAATAATTTAGTACCTGCTCTGTCTTTTAAGTGCCCATAGCACGAGCGAAATGCTGAAAGTAAATTTGTAGATGTGTTATGTAGATTCAGGAAGAAGAAAGACTTAATTATGCAAAATCTGACCTTATTTATCAGATACCGCAATAATGACCTATTGAATGTATAAATCCTGCAGATGTATAAACTCTTATCAACTGTCACAAAGCACCAGAAGGTCTCACCGTTAAACTCACTGTCACCTGCTGAAATCACCTTGATGGATGAAGTGCTTTCTGTGGCCTCACATTGCCCTTGTTGGGCTCTGTGCCATACACTGGCCATGCAGGCAGTCTCCTTTCTCTCTTCTCAGCCCAACAGCCTGTGCCTTACCTGCAAATGCTGCTTTGGGTATATTTTAATTACAGTTTTCCATAGTGGAGTGGATCGTGTAGACAGCCTTAACCATAGCAGGCTGACAGGGAAAACCCACTTAGCACTGAGTAAGTTACTTGATTAAATGTATAAAAGCTGCAGATTCTTGGTGAAACATATTAAACCTCAATAATAGTGGAGCGATGAAATTTCTGCTTTGAATATTTTTCCTGACATTTGAAGGAATCAAGAAGTTGATTTATCCTGGGTTGTTTAACATGAGGGCAGTGTGATGTCTGATCCTGTCAGATACCTTTGATAGCTCTCACATGGGATATTTACCTCCCTGGGGGTGAGCAAAGTGTGGGTAATAGCTGTGCTGAGAACCAGGATCAGGGCAGCTGGGCTGAGGCACTTTTCCAGCTTCTACCTGTCCTAGTTTAATCCTAAGCAAAATCTTTGCTTAAGTAACCAATTATAGAGTTAAAGGTCTCGGATCTTCTCATGAGGTGAAAGAACCATCTGCACTGTTCAGCTGCTGAATTAAGCTAGAAAGTGAAACTTGGCTACTCTGAGAAAAACAAATTTCGAAGATGAAGGTGATGCTGGGCGTTTCAGTGGAACATGGAAACCTGCCTGGTTAACAGTGCTACTACAATGTGGGTTCTTTGCTTTGTGCAGAACAAACTGAGGACATTTGCCAGGTTGTATCTTTCTGAGTGTGTCCTGAAATGAGGTTACCCATGGTTGCAGCATTAGGATGTTCAACTAAAGTGTATTTACCTTACTGCCTATGCTTGCCTTTTCAAATTCTCTAAAAAAATACCTTGCAGTAGTAATCAGTGGATTTACCTTTTGACCCTCAGAATATTCCATGCAGGTCTGGAATAAAGGATTATTTAAGTCCCTGACCATTAGGGCTCTTAGAAAACAGTTACACTCCCACAGAGTTTACTGTAAAAGCTGCTGTTACTGCTCTGTTTATCCTGCAGAGCAGCACTACAGCTTTAGTGCAGACTTAGAGAAATCAAATGGTAATTAATTTCAATATAATTTAATCCAAATTGATCAAATTAAAACACAAGTGCTTTGCAATGGCTTTTACTGTTAGCACTACAAAAATAAGCCCTCTCAAGTCTGGATATTTTCTCTGCTTTCATTTTCCATAAAATGCTGCCTGTGTAGTAAGTATGAATGAGGTGTAAATAATGGTGAGATTTATTTTTGGTGTTCCTTGTGTGCTGGTGAAGGGCTGTGGAGGATGAATGTTAACATGATGGATTTCTCTTCTGTATTCCCAGGCTATAACCCACTGTCTGGAGAAGGAGGTGGAACGTGTTCCTGGAGACCAGGCCGGAGAGGCCCGTCAGCAGGTGGATGAGGTTAACCTCCCTAGTGCCCCATGGCACTAGCAGGCTTGATCTTACCCACTGTCTAACTGCCTACAGCTTGCCTGTCACAGGGACTCCTTTGGGGCTGGTTTAGTGCTGGTGGTCACTTAAAACAGATTCACACCGTTTCCAAACTGCATTGGATGGTCCTACACAAGGAAAATACCTGGTCCTCTTACAGAGGACAGAGAAACAATTCCAGCATAATCAGTTAATTTTCACTCTTCTGTAGAGAGGGAGCTTAGTCTCCAGCCAAGGTGAATCACCTGGAATTTGTAGATCTGGGCTCTCTGGCTCTTCAAAACACTGGCCTCAGGCAAATTTAATTATCTACACTTTGTTTGCCTCTGTAAAATGAGGATATTAACATGTGTTACCAGATCTACTGTGTTTGTCTGGAAGGTAATTTAGAGAGGAAGGATATTATCATTGGCAGACACTTTGAATTTAGGCAGAGGGACTTTCAGGAAAAACACAGGTGATCTGACAAGCGCCACGGATTTGCACTGAAGGCCAGTTATTGCAGAAGAGTCTCTGTGACAAGTCAGCTTGAATGATGTTTTCCTCATAAATGGTAAACAAACCAGTGAGGATAACTGATGCTAGACATGCTAGACAGCAGATGGGGGGGGTTCTTGCTATTCCTTTTCTTTTTTCTTTTTTTTTATTTCAACTGCTTTGTAAAAACAAGACACTATTAATATTAAATATAATTGCAAACAAATGATAAATCTAGTGCTTACAATCTTGTGGTTTTTCTACAGCATCTTTTCATAGAAGGCAGGTGTTCTAGTGCAATACATGTGTATAAAGCAGGATGGGAGATGAGATGACCCTGCTGCCAGGTTGTGCAGCACCCAGGCTGAGGGTGGTGTGTGCTGAGGAGGGCTCTGGCCAGTGAATGTGTCACACTGGCAAGTGAGGGGCTGCAAAGAATAAGTGTGTGGTCTTCATCCTTCTGGTGTATATCCAGCTGTGGGCATGGAAGATAGAACTGCTCATCATAACTGAGCTTTGCAAACATCCCATCCCCTTGATTCACTCTCTAGCACAAAATGCAACAGGCAGATAAAATCCAGGCTGTCTTTGGAAGAGTGAAACAGTCCCTGTCAGCAAAGGACAAGTGCCCCTGTGTCTTGTTACTGAGCTTGTTTGTAGGCATTGGAGTGTGTACCAGTGTTCCTTATGGCTCAGGCCTGCCTGAGCATTTGTTTCTAAAGACTTGCTCTTGGAATCCTTGTGTTCATCAATAGGTACAAGTGCCAACTTTGAATACACTGTTCATGTGCATTAGATATTCTCTTGACTATAAATGTAACAGGGGCGTGTTACCAGTGAGTTTTAAAGTTGCCAGATAATGAAATGGAAAGGCCAAGAGCCTTTTGCTTTAGACCTCAAAGTATGTGTTCAAGTGTGTGGAGAAGGTGAAGTGGGAATGCTGTTGATGTTCCTATGGAAACTAATTTTCATTTCCTGGCTATTGTCCATTTTGGCATGTAAACTTAAATTTCTATAATTGTAACACAGATTGGTGTATGTAAGCTCAGGTTTTAATCTTTAACAAGGCAAAAGAAAACTAGAGGTGGGGAAGGATATTTTCAAGGTCTGAAGATTCCTCCTCAGGAAAGAGGACTAAGTTGTAATCTCACTCCTGCCTTGGGGAACATCTTCCCCTTGTTCTGGGGAAACAGGAAACAGACTGAGGTGTTGTCTTCAGAAAAACAGCTGGGGGAGGTTTGTCTTAATGAAGCAGAAATCCTTGTGCTGATAAAATGGTTAGGATGGGTTGATTTAATTCAGTAAAAACATTTTAAGAAATAAGCAGGTCTGAATTGAGCATGTGCTAATCTTTCTCTGTGACTCAAGACTTGCTTCTGGCTAGGACTAGGGATATGGCTTTTTGCCCAATTCTGAGATTTATTAGGACATACCCAGTAAGAATGAATTGATTTACATATTTCTGGAAACTCCAACCTTCTCTCTCTCCCCCCTTTTTTTTTTTTAATTTTAATCCTCAAGTTCCTAAATTTTTTTTGATCAGACACTTCTAAGCTATTGAACAGTGTGGGAGGAAGAACCACAGTTTGTAAAACTTCTTTCTTGGCTCATAACCTGCACAGGATGGAAGGGTTTTTCCTCTGACTTCAAATGGAAAGCTCTCCCTTGATCACAAACATTATGGAAAGGTGGTTGCTTGCTGCTTTATAGCTTAAGAGTGAAGCATGCAGAAAGCATTAGGTAAAAGTGAACTATTTAATGAATCCATTGTTCCTGCTTTGGTATGAATTCCCAAGAACTTGGATTATGAAAGATCATATTAAAAAGCCTTCAAGAGATTTCTTTTTCCCCCCACTAGAGCAGTTATGCAAGAAGCCTCTTGCTCTACTGATGCAAATGCTCTGGAAATACCTTTATCTGGAAGAAGCTGGGTAACAAACTTAAGAGTTAATTCAAGGCTATTAAACTGCTGTATAATGGTATTTAGCCACTGAAGAGTAATGTATTTTGGGTATCGAAAAATCCTAAATTAAACAAGTGTTCAGAGGCACAAAATTCCTGAAAATGTGCAGCTAAGTATTTTTTATTGCTTTTGGATGATTTATATGCTGGAGGAGCAGAGTTTTTTGTTTAAGTTGCAGATGAGATCTGGTTTGTGCATAGTTCTCTTAACTATTCATCAGGAGATACTGAGCACTGGAGTTAAAACTGAACAAAAAAAACCTGTGTTGTCACACTCATAAAATTTATTTGGCTTTATTTATGCCTTTCAAAAACATTGTGAAATGAGGGAAAGATTTTAAGAGAGATATTGTGTACTTGGGCTTTTAAAAAAATATGTTGCTTATGCTGGAAATTTTTAATAGACAGCAGAAGATGGACTTGGAGGAGTGAGGGCAATCAGGGAATCTGTCAGCAGAGCTGTTCCCAGGCATTCCAGAGTTATCTGTGTGTTGATCAAAGATCAGTGTGAATGAAAATGATAATTACACCTGTATCTGCAAGGAACAGCTGCCCTTGCAGAGTCTGAATGCAGGTGTGGGATGCCAGTACTAACAAAATTTCATCTGCTGTGTTTTATACAGTTCTGTACTATTTTGACTCAAACAGGAGTTGGGCCGTGCTCAGACTCTGCTGATACTCAGCTGAGGTGTTTAAATTAGGGTGTTTTTCCTTGGGTTTTGTGTTATTCCACTTTCTAGAAGATGACCTCACATTCCAGAGCTCTGTGAAGGAGGATGGCATCCAGCCTGACAGTCTCCTGTACATTTTACCAGCAGCCCTGTGGTTACTGGCTGCATCTAAACCCCCTAACGCTGTTCTTTCTGCCTCCTGATCAACCAGGCTGCTCCCTTCTATGGGTAATTGTGTTTTTGCAAGCCTGGCTGCACATCAGCACACATCTCTGCATCAGATAGATGAATTTTGCCCTTGTACAGGCTCAAAAGTGGCAGCTTTTAAGGGATCAGTTTAGCCGGGAGTGGGGCTCAGAGTGTTTCTGTCCACGCTGTTGCTGAACACTGAAACTATATAATTTCCAGCTGTAAAAAAAAGCTGGTCTAGACTTGGATGGGCTGAAACCTTGCTTGTTTTTTTTTTTTCCCCCCCTCCTTCCTTTGTGGAATGAAAGCTTGGCTTTTGAAACAGCTCTGCAACCGCAAAGGAAAAGCACACGGCTGCTGGCTGGGTGGTGTCCTGGCCTGGCTGCACCATTGTAGCTGATTTTGTGGGAGCTTCCAAGCCAGCTGTTCCACGCCTGACACACACCCTGCCCATATTCCCAGCTCCAGAGCCAGCAACTTCAAAAACTTCCGTTATTTTTTTTTATGAAAACCTGATGTCTGCAATGGAATAGGTCCCCTCAGCTCAGCTTTGGGGGGGAAATGCAAATTTTCATTGCAGGTTTCTGTTGCGAGGCACTGACAGGTGGGCAGCTGCTGTTCTCATGTATTTATTCCTGTGATCATTTGTGTTTTGAAAAGCACTTTCAGCACAGAGCAGGATCTCCACTGATACATTGTCATTCCTCCCTCTGTGTCTGGTTTACTGATAGTTTGCTGATCAAGGTTCTCTCTGGGTGCTGATTGCCAAGCTGAGCTTCCGAGCTGGTTCTGTGGGTAACAGTCACGTAGGAATGGCAGGGAAAAGAACTTAGAAAATTATATTTAAAGAGAATGGAAGGAAAATCAATATCCTGAAATACCTGGCCTTTCAGTCTAGTTCTAGTGCTCTGCATTAAAATGGGGAGTTACTGTTAGCTTGGCCTAAAAGACGCACTTTGAAAAAAACCAAACCTGGGTCCTAAAACTTCATCTCACACTGGAGGGGGTAACACTGCCTGTAAATTCCATTTCATGGGTAATGTAATTGCCACTTCTTCAGCTGTTCTGCATTTTAGGTTATCACATCTTGATGTTTGCTTTTTAAATACATGTTCTGGACTTTTCCAGTGGTTTGTTGCCTCGGATCTGGCGGCAGCATCTTAAAAACAGATCACCTTCCCCTCCGTGCTGCAGAGCTCGAGTGCCTCTCCTGCCACCCGGGTGATGAGACCTGGAGGCTTGAGCAGGTGCCTGATGGGCTACGTGGGGAGCAGGAGGGGTCTCCTTCACCAGGCAGAACTCCTGAGTCCTAACTCGGCCCCGGGAAGGCAGAGGCCGGTGCGCTGCACTGCGGAGCCGGGCCGGGCGATGGCAATGTCGGGCCAGCTTTGAGCAGGAGCGAGCGGTGACAGTTCTCCCTCAGCCCCTTGAGCGGGCACCTTCTGAGTCATTCGGCTGAGAGGAAAGCCTGGGTCTGGTCTGTGGCAGGACCAGAAGAGGATGGGGAGGGAGAAAAAGAAGTGGGTTCTGGATCCGGGGAAGGAGTTTCTGCATCATTTGGGAAAATGCAACGGTGCTGGAAATACTGTGACAGAGACAAATGCTGCTGGTTGCCCAGTGAGATTTTTTCCACCATGAGTCTGCTACCTTGAGTATATGAAATATGCTCATTTTCCAGTGCCTGGGCAGTTTTAACAGTATAAGTTTAGGTACTGGAACATTCATAATTAAAGTTTCTGGAGCATTCGGGAAGTAGTTCACTTCTTTATTATTTTAAAATGCGGTAAAGAGTGTATGTTGTAGAAGGTACATCCTGCAAGTATTGGAGTGGGCCCATCAGAGATCAAAACCAATGGGAAAGAAGTGGTATAATATAAGATAGTCCCTTTTTCCTCTACAGGGCAGAGTTTCCTCTGTGGAAGAAACTTTTTTCATTTTGTATTAAGGTTCTTTAGTCCAAAAGGATGAGATCTATTCTGTATGCACACACACACACACACACACACACCAGCTCACCGCCTCAAGGACTCGGCTTTTTCATTGTTTAAAAATAGGATTACTGTTTTGTTAATCTGATTATGAATCTCAACCATGTGGGCCTGTCAAGTGGGCTCTTGCTGGCTGGTTCGGATGCTAATCTCGCTGGAGTGAGTGGGATGGAAACATGGAGAATGAGCACACACAATGTGCATCCTCTGCAGATTTTGGAGAGCCCTCAGAATATTTCCTTAAGCCATCCCACATGGAATAGAAAACACGCTGCATAAAAATGTGCTTATGCTTGTATACAGTGTTAGATGAGAAAAATATCATGCCTTTAATATATAGGAGCCATAATATATAGTATCAATTGTTTATTTAGACTAAGAGCTGTATTAATAGGGGAAGGCCCTTAGAGGTGATTATGCAGTGTGACCCTTCTTTG